ATATATATATATATATATATATATATATATATATATATATATATATAAAAAAAATCTAATCCTACACTCTTCCTCACCAACCCAAATAATAGAGCTTTAGGAAACCTGAAATAGTCTGATGATACAGTCATAAAAAATGTCCGCAGTTGACAGCGGGTCATGGAAGAACTGATAGACATTTGTTAAACGTGACATATCTGGATAGGTACATGGCGAATGCACTGAATCAACTACTAGTTGGTTACCAATAGTTTGTAGCAATTGATATGTTTGTCAAACAATAAAAGCAGCTTGTTCTCTGTAAAAAATAAAGAGATCAGATGAACCAGTTCAGTCACACACAGATTGTTTCAGAATATTGCTGAATGCTGAACTCTGGCTATGAGGCAAATATTGTCTTTTTTATTTGAAATCTGTGAAATGTTCCAGGATACTCAAATAGCTCTGTATGCCTTTGCAGTGGGGGGGGAAGGTGTTTCTCAAATAAACTAACTCACACAGTCCAGCAGAACTCGTCATGCAGAGCTATAGCTACCTTGGCAGAGCCAATCCTGAAAATATACCAGGTGGTCAAAAAGCTCTTTCCACATAAAAACCATGTTTATCCAACTCCTCTGCAATGAAGGTCGACAGGGAGAGGGACATTTGGAGAGAACAAAGGTATCAAAGATGTACATGCAGTAAAGATTATTACCATTAGATTCAAATGATCTGTGAGAATAGGATGTATGAATCACATTTATGAGATAACGGGTCTGTATAAAAAGTAATTTTCTCTTCTCATGAGTAATGCCTGAATTTTACTTCTGTCATCCTATCTCCCTGTGTGTAGACGATTTATTGTTTCAGCAGCTCACACACACACACACACACACACACACACACACACACGCACACACACACACGCACACACAAGCGAGGAAGGAAAAAGCATGGTCCTGCTGGAGTCCATCTTGAGCATCCGCTACCCAGAGTTGATTTCCAAAGAGAGACGGTCACATTGCACTCTTGAGCTGCCTCAAATCCTCAAGGCTATATGGGCCGTTAGGACGGAGGCAGAGTGCAGGCTTTGGTGGCGATTAGTAGAGATGATATCACTGAGCTGAGTGCCGGTATATTACACTATACTTAATCAGGTTCCCAGAACCTCCTTTAACATGGGAACAATATGGCACTTAAAGCTACTGTATGGCTGTATCTGGAATATTGTTTAAGTAAGCTAATATACTTTAAATTAATCCAAAAAAAGGTACATTGGTTGGAGATGGTTAGTAGCAGTTCTAGTCTCTCGAGTTACGCAAGCAGACACACAATCTTCGTTCTACAACAACACTGCCGTCTCGCTGTATTTCAAAAAGCATGTCACTTCCGTCTCGCTGCTGCAGAAGGTGACGGCATTCAATAAGTTACCAGTCTCAGTGTCGGATACCTACCGCTCTAGTAGCTTCCTCATAGTCGATCTTCAGGTTGGCCATGGCTTTGATGATGGCCATAATGGACTGGATTGTGTTGCTGTAGACAACGGCTCTGTACTGCTTGCACTCATCTTCTGAGTATCCATCCTCGTGGATAATCCTGAGAACAGAGACCAGAGGAAGAGGGGGGGGGGGGGGGGGGCAAGAGAATAAAGAAAGATTAGTATGTAATTTAATGAGATGACAATGTCACAATGAAACACTATAAGGACGTTAATACTTAAGGTTACTTGCATATAATGGTGTAAAATATTGACTAGCCTTTTCCCCAAGATCTTGCAAAACATCTCATCTCATTATGAAAAAGTTGTCCATTATTTGTTACAAATAAACCTAATTAAAAAGTGTAAATTGAATTGATATTTCATTAGATCCATCAGAAATGCCTTCGTCCTCCATGTACGAGATCACAAATACTGCTAGTTTGGGGTACTGGAGAAATTCAGATGTTTTTGTATCTCTCAGCGAGAGGACACTAGAACAAATATTGACTTGCTTTTGGAGCTGTGGACAGAGATGGAGAGAAAGAGGCATGGGGCTGTGAAAGCATGGGGCTGACACAGAGACCGCTGGGCAGGAAACCAAACAGAACCATCTCCCTTGGCCCGTCACGGCCCAGAGACAAGAGTCGCACACAGCCAGGGTGCTCATTGGTTGTGTGATGAGCTGAATGGGACCTCATTAAAATGCAAGGGAGCCCTCTGTGCAACAGTGTGAGCTGCAGCCAAGAGCACTGAAAGCCTACAGTGTTTCCCCCACACCCAAACAATGCTTCCAATAATTCCATACAATCCTTTGACTTGATTGTGAAGCACTTTGCAAACTTTATTTATTTTGTTTAATTTGTATTCCTAAGAATTCTATCGCAGTCTCACATTAGGTTGGCACATGTGGACAAGGTGTAGCTGGACACAAAGTGTGACATTGTGCCATCTACACCTGAACACTTTAAATGTAGATTTCACTTATCTGATTGTATGTAGAGTCATTAATCTGCATTATATAACGGCACACTCACAAATCATGCTGACATTTCGAACAATACCTAAATATTGGCAGTTTTAGAGCCGTGTGAAGGGATGAACTGCACAACACTTCCTGTCAGTAATACTCTGGAAACCACTTCCAGGAAAACAGTACAAGACATTTTATATAACGCAAGATTAGATGTAATGTAGATGTAAAAACTAAACTTTGTGTTGATGAAGATGGTCGTGGCTACATGTTGGACATGCTGGGGTCTAGACTAGGAGTGTCAAACTCATCTTTGTTCATGGGCCATATAACAGCCAATCAGCAGAGGGCCCCACAATGAGGAAGAGCAATGTATTTAATTGAAAAATTTAAATGAATGACTTCATACTTTGAAAAGTTATCCAGTGGGCCAGATTGGACTCTCTGGCGGGCCAGTTCTGGCCCTCGGGCCGTATGTTTGACACCCCAAAGATCTAAGAAAGACGAATTTTGCCATCCGATTTTACTATAACATGTTGAGGATGTTTAATTTCTCCTTCGCACTGAATCAGACAAACTGAACTGAAAACTTGCCCATTGTAGTCTGTATTGTATAGACTTTGTAAACTGCTTCCTTCTCATTTAAATATTTAATTGATGCCGTGTTAAAAATAACGTGCAAGCATAGCGTCAACCAGGGGTACATTTTCAGTAGAATACAGTAGATTAAATTGATACATCCCATTATTAATGCTGTCACATCCTGTGGCAGTCACATTTTTGTAAGCATAATTATCCTTTTTGTCACATCTAAGACTGGAGTCAACCCAAGGGATTCTTTCTTCTCAAGAACTTCTAAACCAGATTAAAAGACCATCATTAGTACAGCAGTTTCCTGTGACTCACAGAAGCATAATGCATCCTTTTGTCAGAATTATGAATAGAAAAATCCCACACATAGCATCTCTGAAATGTATTGTTTTCCATCTTACAAAAAAAACACAACCATGGAAAATCTTTCCTCTTAAAAGTGTGAGTCTAGTGTGGACTGTTCGTTCTATTTTCAGGTAGCCAAAATAATTCACTTGTACTCCTCTATGTGCGACGAGACGACACTGGTGTCGTGCTAAAGGGCTCGATAGACCTTTTCACGACAGTCATTTTGACATGCCATATCCAGATCCGGGGCCCGAATACTGTCTATGAATCATTCATGTCATTCATTTATTGTGCTTTTCTTGCTGTGGCACATCAAAATGGAAAATAAATCTATACAAGTGGGTTCAAGCAACCTCAGTGAGTGGATTAAAACATGTTAAAAATCCAAAAATGTGTACAGAAAATATAACTGGGTCATTTGGAGACGCTTGTTTTGTTTGTGTTATACATGTGTACATGTATAGGGGGGGTGCACTGTTGATGATGTATCAAAAGAAAATGCATCAAGCGTGTAGGTGTTCACTGATGTGTACATGTGAGAGGATTTTTGGGAACAGCGTCTCTTAGAGATTTATCAAATTGCTTCAGTGTAGCACCACTAAATAGGGAGACTAACGTTGAGTCATCAGCTGTGTAAATGCACATTTAGCACCAGCTTCTCAACCCTTGTTTTAAGGACACGTAGGGAGTGTTTCAGAGAGACTGATAACAGCGAACCTTCAAAGACAGAAAGGCAGCCGTGGAATTTATGCTTCACGACACAGTAATCGGAGATTAGGCTATACAGACGGCAACAACATACTAGACTGGAATTCCTACCCTGCCAGTTGTCGCTGGCCATGTCAGCTTGAACATATTCAGCAATTTCTTTAATTGCCAAACTGGAAACTTTTAGAATTATTGATTTTAAAACATCCTCCCACAGTGAGTTTTAAGTGGCTCACTTTATCTTCATGTAGCAAGCTATTATGGTCTTCTTTGCATGATTTTTGTTTAATAAACATCCTTTGAGAAACCTTACGGACGGAAGCAAAAACAATCAGGAAATGTTCAGATGCTGATTAAACATGACATGACTCAGTGCCTGTCAACCTCTCAAATGTTGGGTACCTGTATAACTATTTATAGTTATGACATGTGTTATACCTGTATAACATGTATAACACATGTCAGAAGACATCTGTATTCTGTGACTGGACTCCCCAATCGATTTGGCCAATCACTTAACAACCACTTCTCTCCTCCTTAATGCTGGTGATAAGTGTTCATGGTGCAAAGCCTGTTAATGGCTTATTTCAGGCCTGTTGGCTCTGAGCCGAGCAGTGCCAAGCTACCTGGGCCAAACTCTATTCGTTACTCATCGTATCAGCTAGCTAAAAGATTGCATTTATCAGAGGGGGGACATCCCCGTATACAATGTCAGCTGCAGTGCAAAGGAGGATATAGCTTGCCTGTGTGTGTGTGTGTGTGTGTGTGTGTGTTTCCTAATAGAAACTATGTCTTTTGGCACCTGCTTTACTTGAATTTAAATCATAAATATTCATATTTTGAAAGTGAAATTAGTTGCATCTTTTATAGTTGAAATGTGCACAGTGACCACTCAGAGCTGCCGGCCCACAGAGATGAGAACCCTCCCACATATGGACTCATGCTTTCTGCTTTCCTCAGATTATCTAGTCTCACTCTGGATTTTCAGTTAAACAACAACAACAACAACAACAACAAACACGTTACATGCCAATAATATAAAGCTTGTGACAGGTCTCGACAATTTTGCTTGAGTTTAACAACCAAATTATTGTACATGGGGTTTCTAACCGGTCTACATTAGAACTATCTCTTGTGCTATCGCAGCAAAAACGTGTCTTACCTATTTGATTAAAACCGAGTGTATCAAGTCAGACACTAGGAAATGCAAATGAATTAGCGGGTCCATCTACTACTACACACCATGTCTTAATGTGTCAGAGATGATGGGAGGAAAAGCAAAACAAAGAGCAGTCACTCACTTCATCTGCTTCACAATGGTGCTCTTCCCCGACTCTCCAGCACCTGCAGAGAGAACAAAAACAGGCAAAAGGTTAAAAATACACTCCCGTTGGCTGAGAAATGTAAACAGGCAGCCAGCGAGGCCGCCTCACATCTGGACCCTGGTCTTGCTCCCCTCCCTTTACCTCCCAGTCCTGCCTGCAGCTCGCCAAGAGATCTCAGTTCTCATTTTCATCCTGGACAGACCTCCTGCTCTCTCTTACTGTACAGGGATTCTGCTCCTTCAGTTCTATCTGTAGTCTGAATTCAAATGGCAACACAGAGCTCTCTCAACATCGAAAAGGAACAAAAACCAGCTGCCATCATACTCCCCTCTTCTTATTACGCCGCCTTATTACTGTTAACATTTTGATGCAAACATCTTGCACTGACAGGATATGGGCTTTTCTTACCCACTGCTATGTTTATTCTAATAGCCTGAGGCCAGAGAGAGCGCATCTGCCACAAGGAATCTAACACTACACACACACACACACACACACACACCCCCAGGGGTGACTGTCAGTGCACTTTCCATTCGTACTCGCCTGGGGTCTTTCTGGGATGACCCTCAAAATACACTACTACGCAGCATGCACAGTGAGGCCTCTGGGTAGGAATGGGCAAAGATAGTTTCATGGACAGCTGTCAGCTCCGACTCCTTCGTGGTATAAGAGTTCAGACTGGCTGATAAGAGCGCAACGTGTGGTTTGCCTCGAAATAGAGACAGTTTATACAAATGTCTAACGGTATGGCTGTGTATCAAGGCTGAACAAATGTGACCAAAAATGTAACAGAACCCAAAGGGTCTGGGTGGCTGATTTTACATCCACCTCATGCTTCTGAAGTGCCGACCGTCCCCACCAAGCAGTTTGCAAATCACAGTGTCCATCTGCTGTACAGTCTGTGGGCGATATTGTTAAGCAGAAGGAAAAGCGAGAAAAGAAACGCTCTCTCTCCCTCTCTGGCTCACTGAATACCTTGAAATCAAAACTGTAAACAGATTCCCTAATGAAAGAAAAAGTGAAATAACTAAGATTCAGTGGAAATGAGCAGTGTGCATTCCATATAAATCCAGCTGTAGATGGAATACTTTGCCGTGAATAAATCACATGTGGCACTACAGGCTTTGTTTGATTTAAGCTGGTTAAAACCACAATATTGGTTTAAAGCCAAAAGGCCATCAAAACAGTCGTCTGACAAAACTCCACACACTAAATCTATTAGGTTTAAGCACTAATATGGCAAACTAATCATTTTGTAATTTTGCACAACACAGCAAGACAAACAAAACAGAGTTTGTTCCTGGAGCCTCTGTGGCTCAGAAGTAGATATGAGAGTCTGGAGATAAACTGCCAGAACATACTCTCTAGACCTGTGATTTCATAAAGCTGACTGACCAGGGCCGAGCTAGCGGGCATTTCTCTCATCTAACACACACACACACACACACACACGTAGTAAACATGCCCTTTGGAGTTTGTCCAGTGAACCTGAAGCTGCTAACAGTTAAGAGACGAGTGGTGAAGTTTGCTGCCACTGCCGCTTTGGTTTGCAAATAGGTAGCAGCTCTCTTTATTGTAGAATACAAATACACTTAAGCTCTTGGTAGACTTTGAATATTCTCAATTTAAAGCCTTCGCTTGTGGAATACGTCTGAAGTTCAAATGAAATAACTGTAAAGTACAGTCTGTTCCTCATTACACATGTCAGTAACTTAAATGTGAGACGGACAAAACTCTAAAAATGTAACGGACAGAACAATGGATCGGAGTATTGAGTGGGGTTTTATGTACACCCCCAAAAAGATGAACAATGCATTGCTGCTACAGTAATCCTTGTTATGAGTACTTCAGCGAGCCCAATGTACTGTACACAGACATTTATGCAGAGGCCAGTGACATCTTGCACTGCACCATTTCACTTTAAGGTTGCATTGTTGCTAGCTGGCGGTAAAAGGCTGCCAACAACTGTACGAGCGCTTGGACTTTAATAAGATGGTTTGCAGAATTCCTACAGGACTGGACACACTTCTTTTCTACTAATCAACCCTTAACTAGATGGAACACACACATTTAGCTGTGGGACTACTGAGGACACTGTCACTGATGTGATACCTGTGCAATCTCTGTCAAGATTGGGCAATAAGCATGTTTGTTGCTGGTGGTTCTGTGGGGAGAACTCGGGGCCTGATGACAGTTGGACTCATCCCACTGATCCTGTCGCTATTACACAACACCCTCTGCCTGATCTGTGGCTAATGTTGCATTAGCACCATCGCTCCCTTTGGACTGTGGAGGCTCAGGACTGCAGCTGCATGCAAACACACACACACACACACACACACACACACACACACATACATAGACACACCATTTTCGCATGCCCTATTGATACTAGTACGTTTCAAAGAGTGTTTGGAAGAAATTGAATGAGCTTCTCTCTCCAGTAAGCTTTAACCTCCTACCGGTGGCCTTGGTGAGTGAATAGTCATCATTAAGTCTCACACAGTCCCAAAGTAGAAGAAACCAAAAGGTAGACTTTGCTTTCAGTACGAACAGCGCACAAATAAAATCAACACTTAACCACTAAACTTAAACTTGATCTGACCTAAAATATAACTGAACAGACCTGTAGCCCATCCCTTCATAAATCAAACTGGACTGACACGAAGATGAAGATGAGAAGCACATTGATGCATTGAACTAAACAGTTTGACCAAGACCAAGACTGTTTGTGCAGCGCAGGGGTTGAAGAAACGTCGAGTCTGTAGGAAAATAAATAAAGTCCACTGCCTAGCAACTGGGCAACATGTACGCCAGTTGTGGTCGTCTTTGAGTCATGGGAGAAAAAACAGGCAGAGGGGGAAAAATAGAGGAGACAGTTCAGTCCTCAATTTAACTTGAATGAGACTCGTAAGCTTCTATATGTCCATCACAATTCCTTTACCCTCACTAATAAAATACAAAAGATGATGAAAATGGATAAAAAGGAGGACAAATGTTAGTGTGTGCATGCTTACGTATCGTCTCTCTGCGTGTGCTTTGGGAAGAAGGGGGTATTGGCATGAAAATATGCATAACTAGGATAAATCAGCGGGGAATTTGTAAATCTCCCAGCAGGACTCAGGAAATTGACCTGATTACAGATGGGTTCCAATGTGACTGGCAGACAGGAAGTGCCAAACAGGGAGACAGGTACCGGGGGAGCCCACAGGATTACCGGGGCTCCAGCTGCCGTGGGACAGAGCTTGACCCGTGATGGATGGACTGTATTCACAGGTGGAGGCGTCATTAACAGAGACACAACCAGGTCACATGACAGTCCCGGTTAGAGGATGGTCCTTTATGGATGCATTCCATCGGCACATACAAAGAGAAACAGTTTTAATCAAGTCCCAGGTGGTACAATAAGTACATCTGTTCCCTCTGTTTGGAGATGAGCAGGTACAGAAGCTGCTGGGAATGAAATACTATTCTGATTATTATACCAGGGGGAATCTGCCAGCTCCCACTGTGCAAACAGGTGGTTTTGGAGAATCTTGTCCCTTTGCCTACAGATTCTACGTGAAGAATCTCTTTACAGAGATTCGGGGAAAAGTGATAATAATGAAGTGGCACACGTCCCTGATGTGGTCCAGTCTTCTACCTGTGCGTCATCAGACATGAAGCCTTGGTGATTGTAGGTCTTTAGGTGTCATATCCTCAAAAGTGAGCAGTGGCCATCAGCCCGAAGGAGCAAAAAGGAAGCAAAAACCACCTGAATATGTGCCGAGGGCTGGGGAACAGGGACAGCAAGTTGCTTCTGTTTAACTGTGAAACCTAAGTCCATAAGGAATTTCAGTTTTCTTTTTGCAGAAATATGATGCGAGAGAAGAACTGACAAAGCTTTTATCGACTCCCACATTTGACTAGTGATGATACTCGTGGAGAAGAAGTAGTGTGCCAGCCAGCTCTTCTGTGAGAAAACTCTGGCACGCTCGCACCATCTCCGGAGTTTCGTTATTCAGTAAAGCATGATGAAACTGACAATTCCGGACATAAAGGGAGGAAGGAGTGAAGGGCACTGCACTGGTACGCCCACTGTTCTGTGTCAAGACTGAGGATAAACAGCTTAAACTAATCAACTTGTTTCTTCATCTTCCAGCAGTGCCTATGTGTTGCATCAGCATCACGCAGCAACAGCCTTATCAAGTATAAAATGTTACCGGTTCAAAAAGGTCTACCTCCTATGATACATTGCTCAGAGTGAATAAATGTGCATGTGTTTGGAGCAAGTGTGCAGCATCCTGGTGGGACTGGGAGCAGGACACAAAGGAAGCAGTGTGAACCCCTGCTAGCTGAGAACACAGCCCCGCTGTTGATGTTTAGTCCTGGACCGTCCAACACAGCTCAACACAAGCTACTCACACAAGCTCCGCCTCCTATCAGTCAGCATGACAACTGCCTTCGACAGCCACAGCAAACCGTTTCATGGCCGCGAGCAAGAGAAAAGGCTCGAGGGTGACGTGACTGAAGAAGTTAAGTCTCCCTGCTGATGAGAGGAACACGTGTTCAACTGTGACTCGCTTTCAGACAAACAGAAATAAAGACTTGTGGTTTGTGAACCCCCAGATTTCCTCACAGCTTTAGAAAAAACAACAATACCAGGGGATGTCTCTTTAAAGCCTCATTTCTTATATTGAATTTCTAATGTTGCAGATAAAATTGAAAAATGACAGTTGGTGTTTTGATTAGGGAAAGAGAAGTTTATTAATTCTATTGTGTATTACAAGACACATTTTAATCAGCTGAAGAAGATGTGCACACAATAGGAAAGTATTAAGGTGCATTTTTCATTTAGACTTGTTCTCTCTTCCTAAAGCAAGCGCTCAGTAATAGTTCGGCCTAATGAGATTTACAACGGCCTCAACCAAACACCACTACGATATAATAAAATCCAATTGAACCATTCTTCTGGAAGTCAATAGTCCCACTTTGCACAAAACGGCATGTAATATTGTGAGCACATTCTGTAGGAGTGGG